ATTTTTTTTTTTTTTTTTGAGACTATGTTGGGAAGGCTGGAGTGCAATGGCAATTCACAGGTGTGATCACAGAGCACTACAACCTTGAATTCCTCCTGGGTGCAAGTGATCCTCCTGACTTAGCTTCCCAGGGAGCTGAGATTACAGGTGACCACCACCATGCCCAGCCCTGCCTCATCAATTGTAAAAAATGTAGCACACTAACGCAAGTTAGTAACAGAGGAAACTGGAGGGGGTGTGAAGCACCGTGTACATGGGAATACATGGGAACTCTATACTTTTCACTCAAGTTTTCATTTATATTAATTAAAACAAAACCAAATTGTATTCTGTACAGCTAAATATTTAGTAAGTCAGTACTCAAGGCATCGGGAGGTACCAAGGATGGTCAGGACACAGCACAGCAATGATTGGGATACAAGTCATCTACAGGTGCGCCACCATTTGTGCTTCCTGGTAGACAGCGGACAAGGGACCTTGATACATTTATGTCCTGCTTTTTAGTGAATAGTGGGAAGGCAGAGTTTCTCTTGTATGTGACTCTTTTCAACTGCCTTCAAATCAAAATAATACTTATTTTGAGGTGGCATATTCTGGTCTCTTACATTGTATTCAAACAGGTTGCTGCTACTTCTCTACTGTCATTAATCTTCTCATCATCTTCTTATTCCTGTAAGGGAAGTAGAAAAGAACTGTGAAAACTTGCTACAGTAAGATAAACCATTCCATACCAATCCCTTTAAAATGACCAATAAAATAAAGAATGCGCTTCTGGGCCGGGCGTGGTGGCTCACACCTATAATCCCAGCAGTATGGGAGGCCGAGGAGGGTGGATCACCTGAGGTCAGGAGTTCAAGACCAGCCTGACCAATATGGTGAAACCCCATCTCTGCTGAAAATACAAAAATTAGTCGGGTGTGGTGGCACACATCTGTAGTCCTAGCTACTCAGGAGGCTGAGACAGGAGAATTGCTTGAACCTGGGAGGCAGAGGTTGCAGTGAGCCAAGATCACGCCACTGAACTTCAGCCTAGGCGACAGAGCGAGATCAGTCTCAAAAAAAAAAAAAAAAAGAATGCACTTCTGGAGTTCCTGAGTCACTTGCCCTAAAACCTAGGAATGGTACATAAAAAGACTTTATGTAGTAAATAAAGGAAAAGGGTTGTTCACTTATTCTCAGGGCTCACATTCCACATACTGCAATGGATCTCACTTCTTTTTTTTTTTTTTTTTGCCCAAGCTGGAGTGCAGTGGTACTATCGCAGTTCACTGCAGCCTTGACTTCTAGGGCTGAGGTGATCCTCCCACCTCAGTCTCCCTAGTAGCTCGGACCACGTGCATGCCACCACACCTAGCTAATTTTTTTTTTGTAGAGACAGGGTTTCACCATGTTTCTCAGGCCGGTCTCAAACTCCTGAGCTCAAGTGATCTGCCCACCTTGGCCTCCCTAAGTGCTAGGATTGCAGCGTGAGCCACTATGCCCAGCTTCCTTCATCTTTATACTCTCCATTCCCCTCTCTTCATGCAGCTCCTCCCCAATCATAAATGCTTATGGTTTTTTCATTTAAAAAAATTTAAGGCCGGGTGCAGTGGCTCACTCCTGTAATCCTAACACTTTGGGAGGCCAAGGCAGGTGGATCACTTGAGATCAGGCATTCCAGACCAGCCTGGCAACATGGTGAAACCCTGTCTCCATTAAAAATACAAAAATTAGCTGGGTGTGGTGGTGCATCCTGTAATCCCAGCTACTCCAGAGGCTGAGGCAGGAGGATTGCTTGAACCTGGGAGGCAGAGGTTGCAGTGAGTGGAGAGAATATAATGAAAACTACATGCTCTCCATGAAAATATACATACACATAAACACTGCTTTAGACTATATAATTCCTGATGTCAGCTTTTGTTGATAAAATTGGGTGGAAGTGAGATGAGAGAGGTGTGGAGAGAAATTAAGGTTTTTTTTTTGTTTTTGTTTTTGTTTTTGTAAGTGGCCTAAATCGGCTCACGCCTGTAATCCCAGTACTTTGGGAGGCCAAGGCAGCCTGACCACGATCTCAGGAGTTTGACAGTAGCCTGACCAACATGATGAAACCCCGTCTCTACTAAAAATACAAAAATTAGCTGGGCGTGGTGGCATGAGCCTGTAATCCCAGCTACTCGGGAGGCTGAGGCAGGAGAATTGCTTGAATCCGGGAGGCAGAGGTTGCAGTGAGCCAAGATTGCAACACTGCACTCCAGCTTGGGCAACAAGAGTGAAACTCCGTCTCAAAAAAAAAAAAAAGAAAGAAAGAAAGTGGGCTAAATCTCGTAACAGAATAGATGGGAGTATAAATAAGAGATTAATAATTCAGGAAAGACAGAATTCATTACAAGGACAAAGCATTTAAGGAGGAATGAGACAAATGTAAGACGTAGGAGTAAAGAGAACAAGATGCTGTCTTAGAAGTGGGGGAAACAGGCCGGGCGCGGTGGCTCAAGCCTGTAATCCCAGCACTTTGGGAGGCCGAGACGGGTGGATCACGAGGTCAGGAGATTGAGACCATCCTGGC